AAAATACGTGAACTGTGACTAATGGGATTTTTCTTCTCCCATCTGAGCTTGGATAATTGTTCTCTGCCCATGATCAGGCTCGTGAGACTGTTATGGTCCGCTGCAGGCCAGATGGCTGTGGGTTCCACCAGCCCAGGGCCTTGGTTTCTGCCCCCGGCCTTGTCAGCCCTCGGTTCTTCTGCCGACTGCACCAGGCCTGGCGCCGCATCTGTACCCACCTCTTTGACAGACCGCTCTTAGTCGTTTGTGGGGGCTGTTCCCTAATGAGAACCCTCTGTGTGCTTGCTTGCTTTCCATTGTCTGTTAAAATGGTGCAAGTGCCTTGTGGGTGTGGCTTGGCCTGAAGAATTCTAACTGGGCTGAAACAGGGGTACAAGGTGAACGTAGTGTTTCCTAAGTGGTCCTTCCCCACCTCCGTGTTAGGTGGAGTCTCCAGAGAAATGGGTATGTGTGCATAGGAAGATCTTTAAAAAAATTATTTGAAAAGCAGAGAGAGAGACACACACAGACAACAGAAAGAGAAAAGTTCCTCTCTACTGGTTTGGCCTGGGTTTGGGCTGAGACCTCAAACCAGATCTCCCACATGGGTGGCAGGGACCCAGCTCCGTGAGCCAGTCCCTTCTGCCTCCCAGGGTGCATATCAGAAGGAAGCTGGAGTCCGGGGCGGAGCTGGGACTCAGACACACACTTGTACATGGGGATTACTGAGCTTTTAGGAGGGCACCCGGCAGCCTGTTGAGCTTAGCAGGCAGGCTTGTCCATGTCCTCCCCATGTTCGATGCGAAGGTATTTTCTTGCTGACAGCTGGGCTGCCGAGGGTTTGCCCTGAACTTCAACTTCGTCCCCCCACACAGTGGCATGATCCTTAGCTCTGGGTCGCAGTTCTCGCCTGAGGTTGGACTTGAGCATCCACCAGAGTGAGGAGCAGCACCCGGGGCTGGGGCTCCTTTGCTTTGGTGACAAGGTGTCTGAGTCAGCCTGGGGTGCTGGCCCACGATGAGCCGTGGTTAGTGTCTCACAGTTTGGGAGGCCGGAAGTCTGGGTTCTGAGTGCTGGCCTGGCTGGGTTCTCTCCTCCGGGTTGCCCTCTGTGTTGTGTCCTCACGGGGTGGGGACAGGGCAGGGGAGCCAGCTGGGGTCTTGATTATAAGGGCACTAAGCCCAATCATGAAGACGGACTCCCAAGGGCTCCACCACCTAATGCCATCACGGTAGGGTTGGGATTTCAGCGTGGGAATTCTGGGTGGATGTAAACATTGCACCCGCAACACTAGGGGATGTTTGCAGGCCCCCCGTGCAGGGACAGAGGGGTGCCTGTGTCCACTGAGGCAGTGTTCATGCTTCCTTGGTCTTCCACTGCCCACCTGAAACAGTGTCCAGAGTATGTGTATGTGTGGCGGCGGATGTCGTCCCTTGCGTCTGGCCTGTGCAGTGCCAGTGGACAGCCTGGGCCCCCACTCCCTCTACCACTGGCTTCACCAAAACGAAGCATGGTCCTGTTGTCTCAGACCCAGTTGTGATGCAGCCCCAGGGGGCAGGGTCCTTTCCTTGGGAGTCTCAGGGAGAAAGAGCTACCAGTGCCCAGCACAGGCAGAGCAGCGGGCCTGCCTGGACGCTGCCATTCAGGGCGTTTGTAAAGACATCCAGTTAATATGGCTGGTGAATGGCTTTGGGGTCTTTACGTTGAAGCTGGCACAAAGCTCAGATCACATCAGCTCGAGCTACCCTTCTCTTCAAAGAAGAAAAAGGGGAAGAGAAAAAGACCCAACAACTTTAAAAATAAAATGAGCAGGGTGGCGGTAGGTGGGAGCATCGGCTCACATAATTGAAAAGCCCAGGGCGGACGTCAGGTGAGACTTGATCCAGCTGCTCACACAGCCCGGGCAGTTGCAGGGTCTCCCAGTGTTCTTCCTCTCAGGAGTGCCACCCACAGGTTCAGCATCTCCACCCTTTCCTCCTGAGAGCAGCATGGCCGACAGGGCGCCGGGCCACTCCCTCCCATCCCCGGCAGCTACACTGGCTCCTCCTCTCTCATTGGCCTGGTCACGTCACATGCCTCTCCCTGAACCAATCACAGTGCCCATGGGGCGGGCAAGGGGTCGGCTCAGAGCCCACTGCCGCTGGTGCTGTGTGGCTGAGTCGAGGAGGAATTAACTCCTGCCAGGGTGACTGAACTGCGGCCTTGGGGGAGAGAATGAGTGTTGGAGGCCACGAACACCTTCACACAAGTTGCTGGCATTTGTCCTGTGATTGTCAGGGGCACAGAGTCGGTTAGGAAGAGATGTGTGCGTGATACATCGCTGTGAAAGGAACCCAAGGTGGTCCGTGTAGGGGTTGGGCGTGTTGTCTCTCCCAGCTGCACGAGAAGCCCTAGCAACCTTGAACAACAGAAATCCAAAGTCGCACAGCTCTGCAGACCAGACGTCCGAAACCAGATGGTTATGGGCAGGCCCATGCTCTTGCTGAAGTTCCCAGAGGAGACACCTTCACTGCTCCTCGGCTCTGTGGTTCCCGGAAGACTGGGCATTCCCAGCCTTGCGGTCCTGGGCTCTGCCTTCTCCCCATGTACGTCCCCTCTCCTTGTGAGGACAGCAGCCAGGTTGGATTAGGGGCCTGCTCTACGCAACTGCAATGACCCAATTTCCAACCAAGGTCAGGTTCTCTGGAACTAGGGGGCAGCGCTCAGACATGACTGTTTCTGGGGTGTTGTGGGGAGCAACTGGGACTAGACTGTTACTGGAATTAAGACTTATTCTATGCATCTGCTCTCCCACAATATGGCGCTGGGAGAGGAGGAAACAGCTTCTACGCAGCTGCCTCTTGCCAACTTGAGTGATGACCTCCAGGAGCTGATCCTGCTCCTGATTGGAGGAGAGCAGCGTACTCGGCGTGTGGGTAGCAGAGTTGGGATTGGTGGAAGAGGACGATAAAGGAGGAGAGAGACAACATGCACCAGGAACATCTATCTGAAGGAACACCTGTGCAGCCCCCGAGAGAGCCAGCCGGCGGTGTGCCGCTCCCCCGCGGAAGTGGGGAAAGTGGCTGGGGGAACCGCCCTTCCACGGAGGTGGAAGGGACGGTAGCCAACCCGGGAAGAACCAGCAGCAAACCCGGGAAGGGCCAAGCAGACGAAAGAACAGCGCAGGGTCCTGTGTCGTTCCTCCACGAAGAGGGGGAGCGACAGGGTGTGTGTTGGGGGGACTCTCACAGTCCGGTCCGTAAGGCTTCGTGGGGAAGCCTAGGGGGGAATCACAGGCTCCCTGTGTATTTTGACGGACAGACCAGGTGGGCAGTAGGCCCAGGCCCTGCCAAGTGTCACCCAAGGCTTCTGATGCCCCCGTGTAGAGTGTGCTGTGGCTTTGGGCCTGATGGGAACCGGGGCCTGCCACGTGGTGGGGATGGATTTGTTCCTAACCACACAGCCTGGGGCTGCCCCTTGTCCCTCATGGCTAATGTGGGGTGCCAGGGTGAGTGCAGAGAGAGAGAGAGAGAGAGAGAGTCACTTATTTGGAAGGCAGAGAAAGAGAGAGGGAGAGAGAGACCTCCTATCTGCTGGTTCCCTCCCCAGATGCCTGCAACAGCCAAAGCCAGGAGCTGGAACTCGGTGCAGGTCTCCCTCATGGCTGACAGGGACCCATGTACCGGAGCCCTCACCTGGTACCACCCAGTATTGGGAAGCTGGACTAGAGAGCAGAGCAGGGGCGTGAACCCAGGCAGTCTGATGTGGCATGTGAGTGTCGCAGGGCTGCGGCCCCACTGCTGCGCCACACACCGAGCGCAGGGTCCGAAGGCCAGGGCCCAGCTGCCCGGCTGCCCACAGGCCTTGTCGAGTGGCCTCAGGCAAGTTCATTAGCTGCAAGCTGCAGCTTGCATCCTGTGGAAGTGGGGACACGAGTGTGCGCTCACAGGGTGCACAGAGGCTGGGTGTCCCTGCCTGGCAGCTAGGGAGGTCCCATGCAGGAGGGTGGATCCCAGGTGTCCCCCTTCTCTCTCGCCTGCCCTCTGGGCACAGCACGGGGCTTCCTCCACTCACCAGGGGCCATGGACGTGGGCTTTGCCCTCAGCAGAGGCCCTGGGCACTTGTGATGTGGTTGCTTGGCCTGGCCTAGAGCTTCCAGGAGAATCCTGCCACCTCTGCCCTGACGTTTGCTGGAGATGCAGAAGTTAGCACTGTGTTTGCCGAATGCTTTGGTAAATACTCTGCTAACAGATCTCCAAAATCAGCTTGTGTGGCCAGCTCGGGTCTTTGTTCCTCACTGAACCTGCCACCTGCACCTGGCTGCACTGTGCTGGAGTCCTCCCCCAGCACCCAGTGCACCCAGCCTCTGCCTCGTCGCTCAGGCGTCGTCCCGGAGTCCTTGCCTCCTCTCATCCCCTGCCCTGCCCTGCCCTGCCCGTCATCTGCCGGCTTCTGCCATAGCCTCTCTGCTGAGCTCCTGAAGCCTTTGCCAGCCCGCAGCAGAGCTGGCGCAGAGAATTGACAGCCACCTGCCCAGAGCTCCCCGTCTCACTCAGTGAGGCCTCGGAGGCTCACTGTGGGCAGGTGGACTGGACTCCCTCCTCCCCTCACTCCCGCTGGTCCCTGTGCCACGTAGGCACAGGCATGGCCCTGGCTTGGGGCTGCCGCTCTTGCTGTGTTCTCAGCCTGGATCATCCCCCGGCCCCAGCAACCTGCACGCCCCCTGGGCTTGTTCCCTCATCACCTCCTTCTACCCGAGCCCCTGCATTACCTCCTCCCTGCCTTACCGCCCCCCCCCTCCCCATAGAGGGTGTACTCCATGGGGGCGGGGTCTCCTCACCGATGCTTTCGCTGCATTGGGTGCCCCGCAGTGCTCACTGAACAGGTGCTGGCTTGCTCACAGCTGTCACTGAGGGCCAAGATTTGGGGTCCCTGTCACCACGTGTGCAGCCCCCTGGAAGGCCTCAGGTGCCCCCAGTCCCTGGCACCTGCTGCTGGTGCCCACGCTCTGCCCTCTGATGTGCTGTCCTCTTCGTTTCTAGACCGGCCTTATTGTCGCCTGCTATCACGGCTTTGTGGATGCCGTGGTGGCCTTCGCCGAGTGCCCCCACGTTGATGTCAACTGGCAGGACAACGAGGGGAACACGGCCCTGATCACGGCTGCCCAGGCAGGTAAGAGCTGCTCCCCTGCCCCCCCCCCCCCCCCCCCACTGCCACAGAGTGGGCTCTGGGCAAGAGCCTCACTCAGGACGTGGCGTTGCGGGGTTGGAAACGGATCAGAAACCCTGCTTAGGGTGGGCGTTTGGCACCGTGGCCCAGACAGTGCTTGGGACATCTGTGTCCCATGTCAGTGCCTGAGTTTGCGTGTTTTGGCTCTGCTTCTGATTCAGCTTCCTGCTATTGCACACCCAGGGAGGCTACACGTGATGGCCTGTCTCCCGTCTGGGAGAGCTGGATTTAGTTCCCGGCTCCTGGCTTATGCCTGGCCTAGCCCTGGCTCTTGGGGGTATCTGGGGAAGTGAACCAGCAAATAATAGAAAAGCGATCGTGCAGGGCACAGAGGGCTGAAGGGTGTGAGCATATGTTGTCTTTGTGCACTGGGGACAGGTCAGAGCTATGCACTGGTGTAGAATTCACTGTGGGGCAGTCACGCTCTGAGCTGGCCCGAATCTTGGAACTGAAGCTGTAGCAGAAATCTACAGCACATTCCACCCGGCTCTCCACGATGGGATGGTGCAACACTAGTTTTAAAAGGTTATTTATTTATTTATTTATTTGGCAGGGGATGGGGAGGTTGTCATTATTCCCTAAATAATCGTGAACAGCCATCCACGCAGCGTTTACGTTGTGGTAGGTACGATCAGTGACCTAAGGGAGTTGACAGCACGTGGGCAGGTGTGCACAGGTTCTGGGTAAACACCCAGCTATTTTGTGTAAGGGACTTGAGCATCCGCAGGTTTTGGCAGCCTCGGGAGCCTGGGATCCAGCCCCACGGGTCCCGAGGGATGACTGTGGAGCTGTTGCATCAGTCAGCTTCTTGGTTGAGAGCAAAGCTGCTGTCTCTGTCAGAGGCAGGAAGAGAAAGCGATTGTGGTCGGGGCTGGGGGAAGAGGGGCTCGTGTGACAGACTCAGGGCCAGGAAGCTGCAGGAAATGCCCACATGGAACTCTGTGTTGATTCTGGTAAGGAGATGTCTGTGGCCGCCACCAGCGAGACTCCGCGTCCCTCTCATGTCACAGGCTCCTGTGTCAACGCCAGCCTGGCAGATCTGATCAGGGGAGGGTCTGGGATGGCGGTCTGTGCACCTGCTGTTTGGGGCAGGGTGGCAGGAGTGCAGGGTGGGGAGTGTACTGCTGGTGGTGCTCAGCTCTGGGCTACAGAGCCTGGAGTCTTCACTGGAAGCCAGGGAAGCTTGCCGCTTCCTGGGTGGCGGGAGTGGAGGACTTGAGAGGCAGTGGCTTGGGGCTCCTCCAGGGGGCTGAGCCCCGCATCAGGGCCTGGCTTGCGGGTGTGAGGGGCAGCTCTGTCCTGGGGTGATTCTCCAGCTCAAGGGACAGAGAAATAGGCACGGAGCCCCGACAGCGAGGGGTCCCCCACCGAGTGCCACAGGACAGGGACACTGTGGAGCTCAGCCACTCAGGGTGAGATCTGGGACAGACAGGGCCTCGAGCTGAAGCCAGGGAAACGCTTTCAGGCCTGGAGAAGCCCCGCTCTCGGGGATGGCGGGGGTCAGGGGGGCTATAGGAGGTGTGTTCCTACGAGGGATGAGAGGGACCCCCCCCGGGGAGGGTTCTGGGAGCAAGAAGTGTTGGCTGCTGTGATGGGGGTGTGGGAGGGAGTCGTGGGGGTCTGGGCTCCTGGACAGGGCGTGGCCCTGACTTCAAAGGGGATGGAGTAGGAACTCAGGGAGTGGGAGAAGCGTGGATTCCGTGCTGAGCTCGCGCCTTCAGGTTGCTATGTGGCAGCTAAGTCGGGAGGTCTCCGTGGCAGAAAATGCAGCTCCCAAACCCAGTCCCTGCTGCAGCTCATGCGAGTTCCCAGCTGTGCACCAGACCAGGAGCCGTGGTGTGAGCATGTGCACTCGGGAGAACTTTGTTTCCTTACTTATGTGTGAGAGCTCTTTGAGTGCGAGGGATGTTAGATGTGGTTTAATTTCGCATGGGGCACTTTCTGAGTTCTTGTCTATTTGAACATGGTTTTTTTTTTTTTTTTAAACATTTGATTTGCTCATTTGAGAGGCAGGAGGAGAAGGAGACCTCCCTTCCGTCTGCAGATTCACTCCCTAGATGCCTGCAATGGGCCGTGGCTAGGGTCAAAACCAGGAGCTGGAACCGAGACTTGAACCTGGGCACTCTGATATGGCACATGCACATCTTTTTTTTTCTTTTTTCTTTTTTTTCTTTAGGATTTATTTATTTGAAAGAGTTACAGAGAGAGGTAGAGATAGAGAGAGGTCTACCATCTGCTGGTTCACTCCCCAATTGGCTGCAACGGGCAGAGCTGTGCTGATCCTAAGCCAGGAGCTTCTTCTGGGTCTCCCATGCAGGTACAGGGGCCCAAGGTCTTGGGCCATCTTCTACTGCTTTCCCAGGCCATTATCAGGGAGCTAGATCAGAAGTGGGGCAGCCGGGACTTGAACCACTGTCCATATGGGATGCCGGCACTGCAGGCCAGGGCTCTAACCCACTGTACCACAGCGCCAGCCCTGGCACGTGGGCATCTTAAACACAAGGCTGAACACCCAGCCTTGAACTTGCTTTTGTTTGGTGTGTTCAGACATGAGTCACAGCTTCTCTGAGTGTAATAACTTTGGGCCCTGGTTTTGCCTGCCCACAGTTCATCCTTTGCCTTCTGTGTCTCCCATATCACCCTTGCAAAGGAATGAGCTGAGTCCAGCCTGCTTTTTTTTTGCATCTTTGTTGTTCCTTGTACAAACCTCGCTCTCCCTACCTTTGATTTTAAGAAAAGGAAAAAAAAAATCCAACCCTCTCACTATCTCAGTTCCTTCTCTTTCTGTTAGCTTAGAGCAGTATTAGGTCTGTTTTGCCTTTGGAGGAGGTATTTTTCTGTTACCTGCTTGGGTCTGTGTCCTGCCCCCCCCCCCCGCGCCCCCAACCTTTTGCTCCAAGCTCTGGGAGATGCCTCATAGTAACTCACTCACTGTTTTTATGTCGCCGCTGAATGCTTTCATGAGAGATTTCAAGTTGGCAAGCGCATTTCCCCCAAAGCTGTATTTTGAGAAATTCAGAAAAGTCGAACGAGTCGGCCTGTTTGCTTTCTCTCTGCTGCCTTTGAGAGCTGAGTTGAGCTGCCGGCCCTTGAATGCGTCAGCAGGTGTCTCTTCATAGTGAATGTTCTCTTACGTAGCACTTGCTGTTATCATACCTGAGAAAGTGCACACCAGCGCGATAAAACTGTTCACTCTCTCTGAACCTATATTCAAATCCTTCTCCTACTCACCCCCAAAATATCCTTTGTGGTTTTTGCTGTTGCTGGTTGAACCTGGGATAAAAGCGAGTATCAGATTGCGTTCAGTCGCCCTCCTGTCTTCCAGCTGTGAGCCGGCCCTGCCTCTTGGTGCGTGTGCATGGGGCCAGCTTTGTGGCCTGTGAGCACCAGGTTCACCATGCTTTTCCTTGGTTTCTTTTTCTTTTTCTTTCCCCCCCCCCAAGAAACCTTTTATTTAAGGAATACAAACTTCATGCCTTTCATAAGTGCAACTTTAGGAGCATAGTGGTTCCCCCCCCATCCTTCCCCCACCCCAATCCCATTCTTATCTTTCACTAAGATCTATTTTCAATTAACTTTATACACATAAGATTAACTCTATACTAAGTGAAGAGTTCAACAGTTGAAACAAGTCAAAGCAAGTCATTACATCTTAAAGTGTTAATTTCACTTCTGTAGACTGCTTTTTAGGTGCTCTATTAGTTATCACAGGTCAGGGAGAACATATGGTATTTGACCTTTTGGGACTGGCTTATTTCACTAAGTATTATGTCTTCCAGTTTCATTTATTTTGTTGGAAATGACAGGATTTCATTCTGTATAGTATTCCATGGTGTACATATCCCATAATTTCTTTTTTTTTTTAAATTATTTATTTATTTGGAAGTCAGAGTTACACAGAGAAGGAGAGGCAGAGAGAGAGAGAGAGAGAGAGAGAGAGAGAGAGAGAGAGAGATAGATCTTCCATCCACTGGTTCACTTCCTCGTTGGCCACAACAGCCGGAGCTGCACTGATCTGGAGCCAGGAGCCAGGAGCTTCTTCCAGGTCTCCCACGCAGGTGCAGGGGCCCAAGGACTTAGACCATCTTCTACTGCTTTCCCAGGCCACAGCAGAGAGTTGGATTGGAAGTGGAGCATCCAGAACTCAAACTGCGCCCATATGGGATGCCGACACTACAGAGGCTTTACCCACTACACCACAGTGCCGCTGCCCCTCCCCCCATAATTTCTTTATCCAGTCTTCAGTTGATGGGCACTTAAGTTTATTTCATATTGAATATGAATTGAGTTGCAATAAGCATGGAGTACAGATATCTCTTTCATATGCTGTTTTCATTTCCTTGGGTAAATTCCCAGGAGTGGGATGGCTGGGTCATATGGTGGGTCGATATTCAGATTTCTGAGGTATCTCCAAACTGTTTTCCATAGCGGCTTTATCAGTTTATTTACATTCCCACTAACAGTGGAATAGGGTACATTTTCCCCCACATCCTCACCAGCATTTGTTGTTTATTGATTTCTGTATGAAAGGCATTCTAATGGGGTGAGGTGAAACCTCATTGTGGTTTTGATTTGCATTTCCCTGACGGGTACTGATCCTGAGCATTTTTTCAAGTATTTGTTGGCCATTTGGATTTCCTCTTTTAAACAATATTTTAAGTCCTTTGCCTGTGTCTTTTTTTTTTAACTTCTTCTTCTTTTTTTTTGACAGGCAGAGTGGACAGTGAGAGAGAGAGACAGAGAGAAAGGTCTTCCTTTTGCCGTTGGTTCACCCTCCAATGGCCGCCACGGCTGGCGCGCTGTGGCCGGCGCACCACGCTGATCTGAAGCCAGGAGCCAGGTGCTTCTCCTGGTCTCCCATGGGGTGCAGGGCCCAAGCACTTGGGCCATCCTCCACTGCCTTCCCGGGCCACAGCAGAGAGCTGGCCTGGAAGAGGGGCAAC